GGCGGCGGCAGAATATTGACATTCTGTTCTTCTCCTCAAAATCTGTGTTCTATTGCTCTTCCATCACTCTTTCTTCTACATCTTCACTTTCTCTTCTCATCGAACCTGAAATCTCTTAGTGATCAAGACTGAATAGCAGTCTTGAAAACCTACACCAACTATGTGGGGTTGGCTACATGAATCCTGCTTCGCCATTCCATCTTGTTTAATGTTGTATCCATTATTAAATATAGTAAATATGGTACAGTGACCTAAATATTTTGATGTGAACAATTTGAGCATGAGGCATATATGACTTTGCGTCTTTACACCTGTTATACATTGTTTAATATGGGTTTTCTTTTCCTTGTTTCTTTTTTTGTGGTAACTTTTTCCTTTCTTTTTTATGGGGAGAGGACAACAGAGGTAAAAGTAAAATGAGTTGAAATGTATCAGTTTACATATTATTCATCAGTGGAGGCATGAATAATAGCTGAATCCTGTTTTATTTGGGGGTAGAATATCATTAGTCCTGTTAGGGATAGAAGGCTTAATCCTGTCTTATTCTTTTTGCTTTCTCTTGGTTCTGCTTGCTAGGTTTATTCTAATGGCCTTCAACGGGGGTTTATAATAGTTTGTTTCCTCTTAAATCCTTCCAAAGTGTTGATTAACCATTTGTAACATTTCTTAATGTTAATGAAGGGGTATTTCGGTCTTTGTACCTGTTGAGAATGCTGATGTGTACTATTATGTTAGTTCGAGTGCCTCTTACTTAAATAAGGGCACTTATGTCTTTTCCAATTACCTTATGTCGTGGTAGAGGACGTGGCTCGGGTCCACGGAGGTGTACTCGTTGTGGTTTGGATGGACATACTATTAACTACTGCTATGACTTACATGGTCCACCCTCGACATGGGCCAACCTTGCCATGACTAGTGACACCAGTTCCAGCTTTAGACAGGAGAACTGGTCAGCTGACCAGATGCCTTCTACCTCTTCAGATGGTCCAGGCAAGGAGATGGTGAGTGTTCCTCGTGATGTGTATGAAAGGTTTGTTCAATCCACGTTGCAGCAGAACACARCTACCTYTGCACACTCAGGTATGGCTTGTTTGGCATCCACACCCAACCCCTGGATTATTGACTCTGGAGCCTCCGATCACATGACGGGAACTCCAGGTGTGTTTTCATCTCTCACTCATTGCTCAACATCACA